TTATTGTTATGCGGGCGCATAAACACAGGCATTTATTAAAACAACCGACTACGACTGAAAATTGAAACCTAAATTACATTAGCATTCGATTTTTGGACAGAGACACGTGAACTCGTTGTATGACTTTATGACGTAACTTTAACTCTTAATGACGTTGAATCAATCAATGGTCAAAATGGACATACGGAGGATGGACTTCTGCCCATAAGTGCCAAAGCGGTCACTTTTTGATTTTAATTAGTGACCTAACGAGGATATTTTGTAAAAATCACATTAAAGATTCGTAACGAGCTTGTAACATGGCCGAAGATAATATACATATGTTTTATATTGGCCCATGTTTAATAGTTATCACACAAAAAAATCGAATAGGGGCAAGATTTTCAGGATGAAACGCCATTACGTTCGCTTAATTAAAGATTATCGACCGCTACCGAAAAGTGACGACCGAACGACGCCAAATGTAATTGATGACACTGATGGTTGAATGAATAAAATAATACCTGAAAAGTACCATGGTGTTCTGACTAGTAGTTTACATACTCTCACGATTTGGACTGAAGTCGATTATAAAGAGTTTGACTAATATTCTGATTTAAATTGAAATTTTAAATTCAAAAACATTGCTCATTATAGGTTGGGAATTGATTTAATCCTTGATGTAAAAAAATTTGTGAGCAAAATTGATATGTTACAATATTTTTATCGGTATCGATACCCACATACTGCTCTAATGCTGACATGGGCAAGCTGGGCCCGCGGGCCAAACCCGGCCCTTTGGGTAATTCAATCTGGCCCGCCCGATGCTTCACAATCGAACTAAAACCAAATTTTGATGATTTAGCTAAGAATAGCTCAAGGAATTTGTTGAGATTGCTTACATGGTCCGCCAATCTAGGTGGCCACAATTTTTGTGTCTCGGTCCAAAAACCTTGTTCACCCCTGACTAACGCCTAATTTTAACATTTAAAATTGTAAATTTAAATTTATCGATACACAATGATACTAATTTACATTTTAACTTCTAAACATAAACGGAATACAAATATACATGCCATAAAAATCGAAGCTGGCCTGAAGAGACCGCTAGAATTTTTTTACCTTCCATTATATTCCCAGACAAGTATTAAAAAACGTAAAAATGACTTATTCCTATTGTCTTATATGTGAAGGTCATATGTTAATTCAGTAATTTTAGACTTCTAAGGCCGCAGAAACCCATAGATCCAGGGGGGGGGGGGGGGGGGGGGGGCATTTTTTTCAAATAGCGACAAAACGTATTTCTACACAGAAGAATTATTATATGTAATATTTTAGGGGGAACACTTAATTTATGTGTGTGTGGACAAAAATCATTTTTACCGCCGACGCTTTCACCTACTTAAGCACCCGTTATATCGATCGTAAAAACACAAAAATGGAGCCGCGACATTTGGTAAAGATATTTGTCTAATTTTTTAATTCGAGTTCGGGGTATTTTCAATTATATACATGAGTTATCTACGTTTTATGCTTGATTACATACTAAAGTGTTGTAGTATATTTTCACAATTTAAAGATATTTCACCCTATTGCGCGAACATAATGAGTCCATTTCTCAGAAAATATTATTATGTCGGAAAAGCTAAAATTGATTTTTTCTGCTATTATCTCTCTTACGATCGTTTTGCTGAGATTAGCTTTGAGGGAAAACATAAAATAATTCATAGCGCGGAAGAGTAATAAATTCAATGAGCGATGAGAGCGGAAAAAGCCATAAGGAATATAGCAATTTGAAAACAAATTATTTTAGGAAGCGAAAACCCAAACACTTTTGTTTGGTGAGCCATTAAATAACGACGATTCTGCAAATTTTTTTCATCAACGGTCGACTTTGCGACATATATACGTGGTTTGGCCATATTTTAAAATAACAGGTATGATATCTTAGTATAATCTCCAAAAATGCGATTTATTTTTTTCTTGCAGAAATACCTTAGGGGGGGATGGGGTATGAAATTTCCGGGTCCGGATCCGGGTTTTCAACGTGTGTTTTCTAAAGTCTAGAGCAGGGGTGGGCACAGTTTTTGGATCAGGGGCAAAAAAAAATTGCCCACCCAGACTGGCGGGCCATGTAAGTATGACGTAAAGAGTTACATTTTATAAACAATGTCTACAGTGTTACAAAAGCAACAGTGGAAAACAATAAACCTCGTGCCCAAACTAAATTTAATCGCAATCTCAACAAATTACTTGAGTTTTTTCTTAGCTAAAACATCAAAATTTGGTTTTAGTTTGGTCGTGCCAGTATCGTGCGGGCCAGATTGAATTACCCAACGGACCGGATTTGGCCCGCGAGCCGTAGTTTGCTCATGTCAGGCCTAGAGAGTTATCTAAAAAGTATCATGATGACACAATTACATTCAAAACATAAACTTTCTATATTCGTAAATATACTGGGCAAAAAATATACCGGTACCTGTTTTCAGTGAAATCCCTAACGTATTTCAACGTCAAATTCTTGTACGTCATCACGTCTTCATATTTATTACGCTGAGCGATGTCACGCAAAGTTCATTTTGACGCGCATTTCAACACGGAAGTTAATAATTAAAGGGTGTTTGTAAATTGCAACCACAATAGCAATTTCCGTTGTTGAGATAAATAATCAAAGCATATAACGAGAGACTTATGATCATAATATGTCTAATAATATAATAAATATTTGGATGTCACTCAGTGAGAATGAAAATGTCAAACGGGGTCACCATTTTGTTACTAAAACACGGTGGGTGGACTATTCAAATTTAGGCTTCATATTTGATTTTTAGATAATTTTTGCGCTATCATTCGACAAAAAGGCAGTTCAATCGTATGTCGAACCGCGGCCTCTCGCCCGGTCACCAATCCATGACGGTATGGTATGGGATTAGTTAGCCAGTTATTTGTTTTTGGAAGCACGGCCTTGATTATCTATATATATATATATATATATATATGAGAGTGCGTTGGTTGGTAATAACACTAGAATTGTGAGTGTGATTATTTATGTATATAAGGTATTTAACGTGTACGCACTACTGACAAATATTGCTTAAATGGTATTGCTTTAATACAATGTAAAGTGGTCATCTGTTTTATTCTGCCCTAATTTGTAGTTCTAACCCAACTCAAAGAGACCGACCCGACTTGCCTTTAGTACAATTCGTCCACGCTATTCCTCAATTTAACTTCAATAGAAAGTGAAAATATTTCATGTTTTTGGGGCGAACGTTTTTATCTAACGAGCGTAACATACGTTTCGAATTCCAACATTCTTTTCGTTGAGATATTATTACGTGTTTTTATTTTTTTCGAAACTAATTGAGTTTTTGATGAAAAAAAAATGACCCGACTCCTGACATAAAATTGCAGGTTGGCCAGAATGCAATTTATTTTTGCTGTCACATACAAGTCTGTGATATTATCTTAAATAAAAAAGTATTTTTTTTTAAATTTTTCTCAATAAAAAATCGACACAAAATTGCGAGAGTATATAAAATCAGAACAATCAAAAATTAATTCAAGTTTCCGTTTTACTTTGATTCTAGTGAGTTTTGATTTTCAATTGTCTGACGATATTGACAATGATTTTCTCTCGACTCGGAAACCTTTTAGAGTTGAGCATTTATAAAATTACAATTACATTAGTTAGTAAGTTACGGACAAAATTGAAAGAATTTCCATTTACTGCAGCCAATTTAATTTACCTAATACGATCGTTTTGGGCGCCAATAAAAATCGAGACATTATTGAGTTAGAAACAGCGCAGCAACGCGATTAGTGTCGACACGCCAGTTTTCCGAATTTTCGTTTCCATTTTTTCTCCATTTAGTTTCTTGTAATGGACATTGGCAGAGTTCGCGAGAGGGAAAACACCTCACTTAGGTGCGATGGAAATTTCTAATTAAAAGATCTTTCCTACACTGTCGCGGTAAAATTAAATGAAATTTGCATTAGTCTTTCGTTAGCGGGAGCACTTTAAAGAATTGAATTATTGAGTCGATTTGTTGGAAGTACAAAATCTGCCATTTTGTCGAAGCCCCATGAGAAACTTTACCATTCGGGATACCAGAATTTAATTTTCTATTCAAGAGATGATATTTTTCGCTTTCTATATCAAAACATTTAAACTCATTTTTCTTAGTGCGCAATTAAATTTCAGTCGATAACTAGTCGCGATTCATTCGAAATTTGTATTTCTGTTTATAGGTCTTGATATTCCACAGGGAAAAATCATTATCAATGTGAATAATGAAGATATAAATGCTAATTACATCAATATCTCCTCGAGAACCTGGGATCATATGTCTTTTTGATCCTACAATGACGTCAGACTTTTAGCCCTTGGTGTTAGTTTGACCGGCCTTTCCCGCCTAAGACCATGTATGTCGGCAGCTGGGAATGCCTCATCAGACGTACAGTTCACTCGGACTGGAATTCGTTAATTATGGAAGATATATTTAGGATCGCTTGATTTTGTTATCAAAGGAAGGAATTATGAAAAGCTATGGCAATTAGAAATTCCGAATTCGGTCTGGGACCATCGCCGAATGTTTGCGGCAATAACGGATTGGACGCCTTTCTGCAAGCGCCTCCATTCACGTCTATTTGCATCTGATTGCATATAGACTTGTGCTCATCGCCTATTTCATATTTCTGTCTTCGAAACTGTATTTAAAGATAGAGGAATCTATCCACAATCTAACTAAAAGGCTGAGTGGTATACAAACAATGTTTAAAAAGTTGAGAAAATTTCATAACATCTGAAAATGAGTCTACATGAGCTTCAGTGATTAACTTGATAAAGCTGCAAATGAAATACAACCCCCATTTTGACCAGCGTTTTGCTGAGAATGTGACCGGGTAGGAAAAGGAAGTAACCCAGGAAAAGGCGCCGTAAAATCCCATATTTCAGGTACCAGTATGCCATGATATACAGAACCAAAGCATTACAATAATATAAAATTATTATACGTTACCGACTGCAGGTGATCCCTTTTCAGGTTCAAATGCGGATGATTGGGCCTCTGAAAATGACAAATATAAATGAGTTACCGCTACCAAATCTTGAATAAAAGGTTGCGTTACAAAAAGGGTAAAAAATACTTTCATATAGCGTTACCGTAAAGAATTCTATTGCCATGTTCTAGAATTTATTCATAAAAAAACACCATCTTTCAAAAAATCGGATCTTATGTATACAAAGCCCCCGGCACTAATGCAAAATTGTGAAATTTGAGGAAAACACCCTCGCCAATTTTTAAAATAACAGATTAGTAATTAATTATCGGTGGAATGATCCAGGAATGATTATGTTAGAAATTATTTGAAAATTTAAATTTCAAGTGCAATCTGAATTCCCAGCCCTCACCTTAACCAGGTAATTACTAATTTTCTTATTTGGAGCGGTGACGTTTTCTTCTTGGGGCAGCAGGATTTGTATGAAAAAAAAATCACGCAAAACTATATTATAATAATGTATTGCGCACGTACCATATATCCAGAGTTCACTATTACCTTAGAGACCTCGATAGCTTCATTTACGTAACGTTATATAACATGAAAGCAGCGGAACAAATATGTCAACAACTAAGTCATTTAATTAGGAAGGTGATATAATCACGTATTAAATTAAACCTACGACTGTGAAGCGGTTTCGTCATAATGTTCCGTCTCGTCGTGACGCGGGGATCTAACGATTGGCTTTCGTTTATCAATGGGGACTCAGCTATTTTCTGCCAGCGCGGCAATTAAAGCATAACCAACAACTAAGTCTTGTTGAATCCCAGTGGAGTAATAAGCGAAACATAACTTGTATTTGATTTTGTTCTCGCTTCTGGAATGTCATAATTACCGGGACATTAACCCATGGAAAGGACAAGGTCGCAATATATAATAACACCCTGGCCTCGGAGTAACATTTTCAAATCACGCAAGAAGCAGTTCATATAATATACATTGCAAGTTTGAAAGGATGATTCTGCTGAGCAAAAAATATCACAACGAACTCAAAACCATGTATAAAAGATAGGTTAACCCATAGGGCAATTAGAAACGACGAAATAAAGTTCAAATACATGATGACGGTCACAAAGGTCTGAGTAACAGAAGCACTCGTACCCAAAAGACATAAACACAGGCCGTACGACATTATCTGGCGGTGTGAATGGAATTGAATTAATAACAGAATAATTAGATTCGGCTTGAGGTTATGACCTCACAAATGAAGGAACAGATACGTAAAATGATATTAAATGGTCTTGATATATCAATATATCTAAACAGAGCGTATGACTGATTCATCGCGTTGATTAAAACACCATTTTGTTTTGTTTTGTGTTATTGGAAACTGTGAAATGGAACATAAATAATCTCATAACATATTCAGCTGTTCTAATTACCAAAGAAGTTATCAATAACAAATTAGGATTGGATTAAGAGGGAAATGTAATCTTTTATCAACTCGGTCTGGTTAAATTGAAATCGTATATTTTATGGCTCTTTCTCAAGGACAAACTTAATGAGCTGTGAATGAACTTAACACAGACTAGAATTGATATTTAAAACTTGCATTATCACTTTATTATATTGAAAAAAAGGGCAACAGACAGCAAGTCATCACACTCGACTGCTTGCAAAATCTTTTTGCATATGTTTTTCTCCGAACAAGATCCCACTAATATGAAAGGAGTATTTATAGAATTTACTATGAATCGCGAGCAATTGTATATTAGTGAGGTATCACAGCTAGACAGCATCAATTTTGCATAAGTAAGGCCACGCCTCCATTTCGAAAACTCGCTTATGGTATATAAGCGCAGCTTTCTGACTTTGAGTTAATTTCTAAGAAAATGAATTTTATGTAAAAATGGTTGTTTTATATTAGTCCGTTAATTTTGCAGCCATAAAAGCACTACATGCCGCCTAGTATTTGAGCAAACCCCTGGGGCGAGATTTTACAAAATTTATTTTATAAAAAAAATTTGGGTCACTTAAAAAAAAAAGGTTGGGACCACTTCACTACATTTTACTGGACATGCTCTACAACAGGGGTCACCAACGCGTTGCCCGCGGGCACCAAGTCGCCCGCGAAGACCATACGAGTCGCCCGCAGGTCTGTTCCAAACTAAGCTTAATAACGGCGCTTATAAGTAAGCTACATCAATTAAATTTTGTCCTGCTATTCTTGTATAAATCACACTTATATGGGAACTGGGAATGACACTATATTAATTATTGTAACCATCAACCTGATATTTAGTTGACCTCGGTAATGTGACGGGTTAATTAACAATCTTCGAATTATGACATCACGCTGATATCAATTTCCACAAAACCTTGCTTTTTCTTGTCCGTTATTATATATATATATATATTTTACCACCATGAAAACAGTCTGCGTGTGTCTCATTAGTGGGGCGATTGTAACGACGGCAAAGAGAACAGATATTTTACATCTTGTCACGCAATCTACTGCGCTAACTATCCACTCACTCACTGGTCAGCGCAGTACAGGCAGAAAAGTTGTTAAAAGTTCGCAATTCAAATCATACAGCAATTCTATTTTACGAGACCATTGTCTGCTTTTACCTATCTTTGTGAATCAACATTTTTGACATAAACTCAGGATAGGATGGGATTTACATATTTATTCCGAGGGAGAAGATAGTCGATAAGACGGCTTCCCTACGCAGAACGCACGCATTCTCGTCCGGTTACCATTTCATGTCGGGTTTGGGATAAGCTAGTTATTAGTTTTCGAAAGCATGGACCTGATGGCGAAGGGAGCCGTAACCAGCGGTTACCACCCAACGGCGACTAGGAGTCCAGCTCCAGCATACCTTTTGCACATAACTATCCCAGCGTGGAATTCTAACCTGCGAACCTAACGTTTTTAACGCTTAGCACGATGGACGATGGTCCACACCGCCGCGACTCACTCCAACAGGAACAAAGACGGAACACGCCTCACCGATGAAAATCTGCAAGACTCGCAGTGTCAAGTTACACGTCGGAGTACAACACTCTGCAACATTTAATAGTACAACTGTTAAGTCCATTTTTATCTTAGACTTGTGCAGAGTGTTTGTAAATAATCCAGGTACATTGTGGTTTCCTAGGACATTATAGTAGTGATCACTTTAAAACAATTTGGAAACATTCAGATTTGAAATGGAAGTGTTAATGATAGAAATTTATTTGATACTTGTTATAATCGTTTGATTTCCTGAGGAATCCTAAAGTTTATCAGTGTCTCTACTTGACTAAATACCAGTAATTATCAATATTTGAAGCTTAATCGAGCAAACTGACTTTTAGAAGTGTACATTGAACTGGTAGCCCGCAGCTTGATCTGTACCCAGAAAGTAGCCCTCGGCCACGAAAAGGTTGGTGACCCCTGCTCTACAACGTACAGAAAAAATATTCTCCTATATTTCAAATTAAAACATTTCGAATTCGTCTAGAATTTCTAATAACATTAATATATTACCAGCTGCATTGAATGCCGCTTGAACGCGAAGGCGGCTTTGTTGAGCAGGTGTCTAAAACAAGTAATGAAATTGTTACCAATTCGAAGCAGCAGAATTATAAAATATATACAATATGGCTTAAAAAAATTTAGCTACTTGAGATTTTTTCGTGAATTTTTTTTTGTACATACTAGTAATGGGCAATTCAAAATAATTGACTATTCGTAGAATACTTATTTCCGGGTCCTTTTCTTTTATAAATTTTTCAACCATATTGCTAGATTGAAATTTATCAAATTAAAATTGTAAAGGTAATAGCGTCTTCATATTCAATTAGAAATGTTTAGGATGTTATTTTATACCAAACAGGCATCTGCTGTAACGTATAGGCAACTAACCATTTCAGCAAAACCAGGAATATCTTCGCATGGGTCTCTGAAAAAGAGAAGCGTCAGAATGAAATTAAAATGAAATCAAATATAACAAAATATGGCGCTCCAGAAGTGTGTGTACCAATATGGAGGTAACCAATTTTGTTCGCCTACTTTACATCAAGTTGTGTAAAGGGACTGAAACCTATGGGCAGGGGGTATGTTCACTTGTCTTACACAGACAGTCTCCGAACTCGTAATAGAACTAAAATAAGGAAAATCGGAATAAAATTATGGCCTAACCCTAACCTGGTACACATACTACCGGAGTACCCAAAATATAATGGATAGTTGAAACTCACTTTTTCTTTTGTGGAGGTGAACGTTCTGGACTATTTTTCTTCGATTTTTTCTTCTTTTTGGATCTACACATGAAAGAATATTAAAAATGGAAGCTTAAAATAACCTGAAAATTCCACAAAGGATCCACTAGTCCAAAAAATATGAAAGTACACAAATAATCAATTAAACGAAAAGCCTCTTAGTAGAATATATCAATATAGGGTTCAATTTTGTCCGTGTGGAATATTTTGTAAAAAATATTTCTGTGTGGAATTGAATTTCCGCGGGTGGAATTTTCCTCAAAACTAATATCTATCTACAGAGTGACTCAAAACTATTTCACGAAAACGATGAAAATTTATTGAACACTTGAACTTCTGTTTGTGTACGATTGTACGTTATACTGAAAAGTTGCAGTAATTTGGGACACTTTGCAAAAAAGTTATGTTTTCTCTCCTACAATATGTTCAAAATGGCCTAGGTTCAGTTATTGGTTAACCTTGTATATGTATAAATATACTACCTTTCGCGTGACAAGCTTCTCCTTCTTGAATACCTAAAACAAGACATCATCAAATATAAGGAAATTGAAGTGCAAAACGAAGTAGTACGGGTAGTAGACTACCAGTACCGCAGTCTTCATGATTTCGCCCGTACACTACGAACACGGAAACGCTAGAAACATCTCAATTTTGATGACGTCATCGCACACGAATCCCATAGAGCACACAAAATTTTTTGAAACAGCCTTTCAGGAACAAATTCAATCTTTAACCACTGGGAATTTCAAAGCAATTGGTCAGCTAGTTAATGAGAAAATCGATTTTTTTCACGACAACAAGGAGAAAAATACTAACAACATTCTAACAAAACAATCCATGTGTACACTCTGTGTCCAGTAAGTATAATATAAGAAGAAACAATATCTTTAGATTTCCTAAATAAAACTTTTGTGAAAGATTTCTTGTTTGCCCACTCACTCCGACTTTTCCCGCGAGTTTGTTCGGCTCTTGCTCCGTCTGCGACGAGGTGATCTGAATTGGATTGTGTGTTGTCCATAAACTGACTGAATTAAATTTTCAAATGAGGGGGCTTTGTCTCAAAACAGATTTCCATAGCGGATTAAAAATTTTCTCCCCCGAAAATATCTTCTAATAATAATTGAAGTGTGAAAGCAGCACAGTATATGATGACACGCTGCGCGAATTCAAAACATAAAATCGTTATTTATAGTTAGGCACTTAAGTGATACGGAGTACAAATTATCGTCTATTTTAATCTTCAAAAGCAGGAGAAAAATATAGAACCTTGTTCTAGAACGCGATCTTCTACGTGACCTTCTTGATCTGTAAGAATCGTCACTTCGTGATCTGTGAAGCAGGTTGCAAGACAATAATAAGCAGATGTGCGTGAAGGCTGACCTCAAAAAATTCAACCGCCTTATCCAAATTCTTGCGAAGTTTAACAATCGCAATGTTGGGGTATTTTGAAGATATTTACCCAAAGCAAGATCGCGCGCACTCACTCAAGAGTTACCCAGACAGTTGTGAGGTAGTCAATTCCACATAACCAATGTTCTTGGAAAAAACTAAAGCATGAAAATTTTGAATCACAAAAATTAGAATTACAATCCTGGAGTACTTATAAAAAAGATCGCAAGATCGCGCGAACTCACTCATGAGTTACTCAGACACCTGTGAGGTGGTCAATTCAATTCAATTCCCCTTAACCAATGTTTTTGGAAGAAATTGAAGCACAAAAATTTAAAATCAGAATCACAAAAATATAGACTTACAACGCTGGGGTTTTAATAAGAAAAGTCACTCAAAGTAAGGTTGCGCGTTCTCATTCAGAGATACTCAGACGCTCAAAATAACCAGTGTGGACCGAAGTTAGACGGACAGAGTTCCAAGTTTTTAGAAAAATACACACATTTCACGATTATAATGCCTGTATATACAATACCTGTGTCTTCGTTTACGCTCATCACGTGACCTTGATCTCCCGCTTCTATCTGAACTGTAACTTCGTTCCCTTGATCGGGACCGAGATTTTCTTCTAGAGTCACGTGATCTGTAGAAAAAAGAAAAATTGAAATATAGGACGAAAAGTATATTAGTAGCAGAATTCTAACTTTTACTAACCGTCTAGATTCGTAACTTGTGCTTCGGCTTCGTTTTCTGGATTTTGATTTCTTTTTTGATTTTTTACTCGTTCGTTTCCTGCCGTCTGAATCAGAATCGGATGAATATCGAGCCATAATAAATATAATTATTTATACCTGTTAAAATAGAAATTGTTATGCAGTTTTCATATATTCATAATAAATTTCTTTGTTGTGTGTTACATTTGTTAATTTTTAAAAAAAATGACCACGTTTATATATGACGTTTCCACTCGAAACAAGGCTCCATGTATGCTATTGTGTCAGGCAGGTGCATGCAACCTGCGGCCCGCGGGCCAACACGGAAAATTGTGCGGCCCGCGGTGAAGTGTCAACTTTGAATGGTGTGCGGCACGCGAAACAAGTTTTCAATTTCGTTTATTCTGGTACTTGCGAGTAATTCCAATCCCTTACAATGGTCTAAAAGCTAGCTTGTGTGAAGCGAACAACAGAAATCTTGAAAATTGTCAGAATGTAAAAAATGATAACTGTAAATGATAACTACGTTATTAAGCGTTCGTTTCAGTGATGACGCGAAGTTGTTCAACAAAATGAAATAAAAGATTTCGGACGAGAAGTCCCTTGACACCATGCTTGTTTCCAAATGTAAAATTATACGTTGGTAATAAGACAAATAAACTGTAGGACAAAAATAACATTGTCTTGGCCGTTTTTCAAAGTCGCAAAATTAAGGCGGCGACCGATGGACGGAAACGTACGACGCGGATGGTCTCACGGTCTTCGAGTTCAGAGGTCAGGACAGAATGCCCTTTCATTGAGCCATCGATCAAACAGAGAAAGTTGGATACTAGAAAAGTGACAAATAAGTAAGAATTATGCAGGATTTCGCAAAATACAACTTCTTGGCTATTTAGTGGAGATATGCTATACAGCAGTAACACAAACTCTCTCCTGATTGGTCAACGATGTTATTGGAACCTATGCAACTTACAAAATGAAAATACCAAACACTCAAAATTAACCAAAAACAGGAGCGCGAGCGGTTTCCAGATGAGCGCGATATCGTTGCTATGACGTTGCTACGGGTTCACAAGGTTGACCAATCAGGAGAAAGTTGGTTTACTGTCGAAAAGGCAGTGGGGCTTTGATGCAAAACTTGGTGCGCTGACAAGGTTATGCACCAACCAGAGACAGCACATTGAATACATATTGATACCAATTGTTACAATACCAATAACAGTTACCTACTGAAATTGCCAGAAGCCTTTTCATCTAACGATTCAACGGCACGGTAAGAAGACGTATCACAAAGATTCCCATAGAAATGTAAAATCAAAATTAATAGATATGCATTTAGCCACAGAGGGCAGGAATATACTAACAAGTAGAAAGAGAGGGATAGACAACTATACCGAATAATTTCCGAAACAGCATAAGTATACAGCGTTTATTACAGCTGCACGTGATTAACATAAGTTTGCATCCGTCCACATTTTAATCTGTAACACCAATATCGTAATATTCAACGCCAAGGCCGCGCCGCGCTCGCAAAATGAGACGAGGAAAAAGTGTTTCATAACGTTGTACAACTACAGTATAACTTAACAAAGATCTCTCCTGGGGGATTGTATATTCTCCAAAAAGACGGAAGATGAAAGTACAAGGCATTTTCCCTGCGGGGAAGAAAATTAAATAATGTTAAAATCTATTAGGTTAATTATGGTATTGGCTCGTATTACGAATACAACTGAATCGATTTGAAATTGTTGGAAATATTTTGCTACAATAAAAAGATGGACAGATCTCTGTTGTGTAAATTTGGGGGGCAGGTGGTATATTCACTTGGCTAACACAAACAGTCTCCGAACTCGTAATAGAACCAAAATAAGGAAAATCAGAAGAAAATTATGGCCTAACCCTAGCCTGGTAGGCTGGTACACTTACCACCGGAGTTTTAGGTCTGTGAAAGCAGTCAGATTCACACATTTATTCAAGGGACTTGCTTAACTTGATTTCAATCTCATAAAAAAATTCTCGCATATTTCAGTTTCGACCTAACTAATGAGATCACACAATCGCACACCAAAGTAGCATCATTTTGAGAATTAGAAACTTAGTCGATTTCAATTTGAAAAATACTGATACTGTATATAATAATATATGAATTAAAAATAAGGATTTGGTACATAAATATGAGTTACATGATTTTTTTTTTATATAATTAACTTATTGCCATAATAACCAACAAATACCGAAGAAAAATAGATAAAAAATGAGATAAGATATCCTTTAAAAACTCTTCCGGTTTTCTTCGTAACGTTTTTCCGTTTATTAAACAGTGTTATGATTTAATTTGATAGAGATCAAAACGTAAAAAATACAGGAAAAAAAAATCAAAAAATACCCGACAAAAAGTGCTAGCGCAAGTTTGATTAGGCTCACAATTTATAGTGACACATTCTTTATACTAAAAACATATAGTTTTGTTACACAGCATCGCCATTCTTTCGCACGCTTTGCTGATTGTATATAAAATGTTTACTATTCAATCATGAAAAAGAACTGAACTTGGTAAAAATATCGAGGGCGGGTATGACGGACAACATGTATACGAGGTAGTGACGTCATAGAACATTTGAAATGAAATAATGGTAATAATAGCCGTAATAATAGCCTTCGAGCGACTCCCGCCGTATATAAGTATTGAAAATTCTCACATTTAAAACCCCATTTTCCCCAAAACGACTCGTATATCTCGCGTCCAAATATAAATCCTTATATGCGCGCGTTCGTGCTAATATGTACAGTAATACCATTATCAGGGCATACAGCAAAAAACAGTTTACCGGCAACACATTTATCGACCAAGTAAAATGCATAATTATAATCTGTTGTATAAATCATTAATGATTACAGGAGTATCAGCACTAAATGAATAAATTCAAGTTATACGAAATTAAATAAAAAACAAAAATGAAAAGGGAATACGTAATTTTACGTCTCGTAAAATCAATTTTGACAGATAGGGCCCTAACTATCCACTAATGTGACATATTTAGCAAAATAGAGTCAAGGGAAAACAGAAGTCGAATATAATAAACATGATCAATGTCCAAAACGCTGAGTGGAATTAATCATTACATATGTTAAGACTTTAATGTGATCGTAAAAAATGGTAAAAAAATTTAATTCCAATGTAACGTTTATTAGTCTGTTTTTACACTTCGAAATTTATATTAAATGTACGTTTAATAATGAGAAATACGAAAAAATCATCGCAAATACTAACCAACTTTATCTGAAATATATTGTAAATAATCAAAATTACCGTAAAATTCCATTAATTTAACAAGTAATAAATATTAATAATTAACAATATTCGACGAAAAGTATAAAAAGAAGCGTCTAGGCGGCCATTAACATTTTGTTCCAGTAAAAATTAGATTTAGTTAGAAATTAGGGACAATAAAAACTTAAGTGCAGAGTTAAAAATATTGATTACAAATACCAACAAAAAGAAACGATCAATTCTCATATTTACCCAATTCAGGAAATAAATAAACAAGTGAGTTTGAAGAAGGAATTCTTTGATTGGAGCAATGTATACCTTACTACTGCACCCCCTTATCTGCCGTTATGTTAATGAATCTGCGTGCAACATTAACTGCAGTAGCAAGCAATAAAACTGCTCTCCTGTGTGGGCTCGTAAGTGTTGCGTCATATTTTAATTCATCACAAATTTATTCTGTAAGTTACGTCTGACTAAGTGCTTGTCCGAGGAAGCATGTCAGATATTTAATCCGCCTAATAAAGTTGAGCTTGATAAAAAAAATTATTTTAAAGCGAAGGCCATTGATGACATGTGTGATGCCAATTTCTTCGATCATAATGACAAATTTCTATAGAAAATTTGGACCTCCTGAAGTATGCGCACCAAGATGGCGCACAACCTGAACTCAGGTTGTGTACCAGGTTAGGGTTCAGGTTGTGCGACATCTTGGTGCGCATACTTCAGGAGTACCGAAATTTTTTTCTAAAATATTCAGGATTTTATTTTGTCTAACAATGTAATTGCATATATTTGAATGTACAACTTGGTTTATACATTACTATGTATATCCACTCTTGAGGTAAGCGGGTGGGGTTGATAATATGGGTTATTTACAATTTTTTTGTTGTATAGGTGGCCCAGGCAACCCCTCAGTTGTGTCATGTAAGTAGTAAATCGAAAAAATCATTTTATAGCATATTACGTCACACTAAGTATAACGATATTTAACAAACTTCGTATTCTTATACCTAAGTCTGATTAAAATACAATAAATTTACTTATTATTAGCCATAAGTAGCGTTATCAGTGTCTGGCACGAAACGGCCATTGATGGATTTCCAAGTGATTTCCCAAAGGGACCTGTTCATATAAGAAACTTCACACGCGCGCACGGTTTACGACAACCCAACGGGCGCAAGATTAAATTTATTAGGGTGTCGTTTCGCACTGAAAACAGAGTAGGCTCTTGTGTTTCTTGTGCGACGTTGTATTTCTCCTCCTGTATTTTTTAATTTGCCAATATGTAAGCTGTCTTTACTATAATAGATGACTGAAAATATTTTGGAGAAATTTTGTAAAGAATGGATGCGAAATTCAGTTAACTTAGGAAGGTTATCATTCATTTTTGAGGTTCAGGATTTGAGCAAGAAATTGTCTAAATAATTGGGTAAAAAGATTAGGTAGTCAAAACTCATAAATTTATAATTCATGTTGAATTATTGAGTAAAATTGAAAAAATAGACAAAGAAAGCACGCGAAATAAAAGGATAGTTGATGACTTCATAGTATGCTTGGTTAAACTATCCTTGAGAAAATTCAATTTATTTTACTTACTTCAACATATAATGAATATAATATGATACATGTGGTGTCTTACAAATTGAGATGGCCAAAAACATGACACAGTGAATAGAAATGTTCACTCTTTCATATACTTTTTGTTAAGTTCGTCAGAAATTAGCCTGAGGAGCAGGGTTAGGGGAACACTCAATAAAAGCGGCTCTAATTGAGTGTCTAATAAGATTCAGTAACACGACATTAAAAACGACCAATAATCATTAATTGTTTATGCTATGCCAATCTTGGAATATAGGTAATAAGAGTATAATTCGAATTCCCAATTTGTTGTTACTCTCGAAAAAACAGTGTAGGACAAGGCGGGGTTTTGGCGCCCTGCCCCTTCGTTGCGAAGAGACATAAAATCGATGTAAAAGTCATTTTAATGAACTTGTTTTCCACGGCATTAGCGAGCGGGTAAGCCATAACGAGGTGGTGGAGAAACAAAGTACTATTACATCGGTGAATGAGAAAACAAGCGCCGTAACAAATAGGTCCAGTAAAGACGACGGCACAATTAGGCGGCAAATATTAAATTACGACGCTACCTTAATTTTATATAGAAAGAAAAAAATGAAAAAGTTTAGCGCCGAGAGAGAATTAAGATTCATAAATGAGGGATGTGCTAAATTTGCCTCATTAGTAAACGTATTGCTGCAACACTAGAAACTTAGAGGCAGCAAACCGAAGCAATGTCGCCGGTATACTTAACATAGTCTGATTAAAGTATTCATTGTACCAAATATCATCTTACACTAAACAAATAAAATTAGATTTCAATGTTCCGATTTTATAAAATATATGATTATCTATTCATACTTTAGAATCAGGGGAAAGGTAGCTTATTTTGTATGAAACTTAGAACATTATTGGACTATAAAACTTTAACAACTCTCATATACGCCTTATGAAAAAGTCTGTTCTTGCGTAGAGAAATCAAATAACTAAGTCAAACACATTATTCAAAAATATAGGAGAATTCACACTTCTCTTTTATCAGGCAAACCAACGGTACAAGCGCAGCAACGTATGTCCCAAATTTTAAATTTTCTGGAATATTTATTTTTCATAATTTTTTTTAAATAAATGAGTACAGTACTTTTTGGTCTGGTTTCTGTGAATTAGACAAATTATTCTAGATCGCTAAAAAAGGTTTTTGTTTACATGCGAGAAGATGTTTAATCACTCAATAGCAATGAAATAGAACGACCCTCACTCGGTACTTCCGTAGTGTGTGTACCAGGTTATGGTTTTATTCCGATTTTCGTTATTTTTAGTTCTATTACGAGTTCAGGGACTGTTTGTGTTACCCAAGTGAGTGAATATCCCGCCTGCCCATAAGCTTCCGTTTCTTTACACAACTTGATGTAAAATGGGCGAACAAAATTAGTTACCTCCATATTGGTACACACACTTCTGGAGCGTATATGTAGATTCCTATAACATTCTTGGCTGAGTTTTAGTAGAAAAATACTTCAATAACTTATTTATATTGCAGAAAAGTTTGAACTATTGTATCGATATACAAATAAAAACAAAAATGGCGGAAAGCATGAGTGGCGTTGAAAAGTTCCGATCTCACCGGCTCAGCACGCATCTTACTCCGGCGGGATCAAATGCAAGTACCGGTACTGATTCACCGGATGACGATGTGTGCATGGATGAACAACTCAAAATAGAACTTGTTAAAAATCGCATGTTCCAAGAAATACAGAAAACATCTAGCGAGGAGTGTTTAACAAGACTGAGACAACGAATCGCGGCACATTCTTCCTCTGAAGATAGCGAATCCAAGTCGCACGCACCATTTGTGAAGCTAAGTTCCGAAAATCACTCGAAAGCCTGGACAACCTCAGAACAGTCAAGTTTTCGCGCCATTTTTTCACTTGGATTGACCAATCAGATGCATCCTACATCACGTGAGAGTTATTCGGCGTACGGTAAACAATATCAAGAAGTTAATTCGACGAACTTGAATGAAAAAGAAAAGAATCAAATTGGGAAAACAAAAAATTACCGAATATCACCAAATATAAGGGAAGGGGACGAAAACAATGACGTAATATGTATGGAAGACGAGGAACAACACGAAACATCAGGACAAACTTCAGGTATTTGAGATAAGGTTGGGTCACCGTCCCGATGTTTACAATGAAGCTATAATATTTGAATTTTCTAAAACGGAATTCCACTTTCTGCGAGTGTCATCTTCGTTTCAGATGACTACATATTATCCGGAATTAACCAAGTTATATTACGGTTGTTTCAATTTTTGATTAATTCCAAGTATTTAGATTTTAAAGAAATATAAAATCCAACTTCATAGCATAATTCATTAGGTTTATTCACTTGAATCCTTATAGAATACAGTAAGGTAGACATACAATGTGCCCATATTCATTATTATCAGGTACACAAACGAAACAAATGGCAGACGAAGAAATGCTAATCCACATTAGCGCAGAGATAAACATAACGCTGCATTCGGCCATTTTAAGTTTTGGCTTATTTCCTGGCAACAATCGAGTCAGAAATTTTGGGCGGTTGCTTAGTGTCGCATAATATTATAGGTCTAATCTGCGCACATGAATGCTATTTCATCGGTATTAAAATTTGCAAAACTTAGTTTGTAGACGTCAAGGTGAAAGAGTTAGTGATTTTGTCTTGAGAAAATGTGTAAAAAAAATTACTAAAAATACATTTGTACAGATTCGTGTTTAAAAACGACAACTCCAGGACCAATTACGCTTCTAACAGAACTTTCGTCGTCGAGAAGATTCGAAGTTCGACCAGACGAAAACATGAAATCCAGTTTCGAACAAATTCCAAGCGATGCGATGTCGGAAGGAACAAGTGATGGTGACGTCATAGAGAAGAGAAACGCAGAAAATCAACAAATATCGGTGAGTTCAAGCGAATATTTGTAGCAAGTAAAAAAACTCAAATTTACGGATTTTACTCGAAGTGTAGGCCAAATTGTGACACCTCGTTGCAGAAACTTATTGGTGATATAAACTTATTACTTATATAAAGTTTATTTGCGGATTTGCGTCATTGCGCGTATATAAGCGAAAATTTGTAGTAGATGAATAAAGCGAATGAATAAAACTTAAAATTTGCAGATTCTTGTAGAATTGTAAGCTGATTTGCAGAAACCTGTTGGTAAAGCTTAGTTTGCTTGTACAGGACCTTGTTGGAGAAAAATGGCTCGAAAACGTTTCACAATAAAAAAAAATCAGCGCCTTTTTAGCAAACAGTTTATAACACAGTTTATTTAAATAACGAAGTGAATAGCTAAATTAACAATCAACAAACAAAATTCAAAAATTGCAATCAAACGTAATCGCCCTTGGTCAAACCACGTCTTTAAAGAATTGTTGCACGAGCGTGTCAATTGGTATTAAAAACAGATATAAATTGCAGTGCAGTCATAAACATAAGATATTGCAATTTTGAAGGGAAAGAATTTACACATTTATCCTAGGGCCAGTTAGGGCTGGGCATTTCGAATCGAATAGTAAATTATTCGAATCGGTTCAGACGGGAATTTCGAATCGCCGCCATCTTGTTTTTATCTTTCCGCTAATGGTCGAGGTGAATTCCCCAATTTTTTTTTCATTGAAGTCATATTCTTTCAACGAAATTCTAACATATGACTATTTTCTGTAGTGAGTTATTGATAAAACGTGTTTGTTATTCTGTGTGAACGCGCAGTAATGTATCTGAGTGATTTATTCTATGTCTTCAGTAATTCATTTGTTGAGAGGACCAATTACTATAAGAAAGTCGCTTACAATTTTATATTTTCAATTATTCGAGATTCGATTTGAAAAAATTATTCGATTCGATTCGATTCTGAAATCACAAGGTATTCGAAAATGCCCAGCCCTAGGGCCAGTAAGACAGATTAATCATATGGCGAACCACCGCCTCTTGTCCGGTCACTGGTCTACGTCGGTAATGGGATTATTTAGACAGTTTTTGGTCCAAATCATGGACTTCGAGGTAGAGGAAGCCTTGATCTACCATGGTTACGCAAACCTATCGTGCATGTTAGATTGAATATTTATGATGAATAACAAATATTATATGTTTATATCATTTTTACATAGAACCACATATCAATACTAAAATGAAAAATATCGTAAAAGACAGACAGATGGTTTGATTACCTGAAGAATTTCAAAGAATAATTTAATTGTACTAATTTCTAATTTGTTTAAATAATTTTAACTCTACACTCCAGTCCTTTAATGTTAAAGCCATTTTTAGTTTCGCCCATTTTCCGAAAGCATTAGTGTAAATAGTAATCAACGAAAATCTAAAACGAAATTGAATTTGTAGGCAAAACAGAGACGCAGTCGCACTAATTTTACGTTGGAACAATTAGCCGAATTGGAAAGACTGTTTGAAGAAACTCATTATCCCGATGCTTTCATGAGAGAAGAACTAAGCAGAAGACTCGGACTAACGGAAGGAAGAGTACAGGTAGAGTAAGAAATAGTCAAATCGAGTTTATTCATTTTTTTCAACTGGTAAAAACCATCATATACGATATAAAAAAGAGTTATTTACACAATTTTACTGGAGAACCAAAGCTGGTTATACAAGATGGAGAATTCTATTTCCGGAACTAATGTTATTGACGGCAAGTACCATATGGTGAAATGAATAAACAACAAATACAGATATCATGTTTATCATACTGTCGAAGATAGGGGACAAAACTATGCATCTGGAAACGTATAACTGGCTAACCTAATCTCATCCGACACGGACTTGTAAGCAAACGAGCGACCATGGTTCGAGCCGTCTTATCGGCTTTACTCCCCGCTGGGATAAATATGTAATTCCTACTCTATCTTGAAGTCGACGGGTTCTAGTCATTTCATCACTTAAAAAGAATAGATACAGTAAATGGAATTTATAACCGGTATTAGGTAAACCGCGCAACGACGACGGGAAAATTAAAGACTCTGTTTGTTCAGTATAGCAAACTGCTACCGAAACTGTTTCTATCACTAAAAAACTCGGAGAAAAAGTATATATTCGTGCATGCAAGAATCGGAATTGGGGCAAGAACGTGGTTTAGGTTTAAGAAAAATTTTCCGTACATCAAGCGAAAATACTAAAAAAATCGACAGCTCAAATCATGCTTCGACGGTGATCAAATACAAGAATAAATAAACGCCATGTCACACGTTTGTATTATTTCAAAATTAAAAGTTCCGATCGTGTATATTTGTAATTAACTCAACTAACTATCCCTATAAGATAAAAGCGTTCGTTTGTGTCACGAAAATGACCAATACTAATTGTTGGAATACATCCAAAATTATACCGGTAGTAATTATTCGTAGTAATGTAAGTAAATTCTTCTCGTTGGTGATATTTATATAAATTTTATTTTTAAGAAGCTTGATTTTAATTGGAAGTACTTGAGCATAAGGAGAACCGACTTTGATAAGACTACTTAATCATACGATACAGTACACAAATGCTTCACGTCTGTTCAACCAATCGGATTTATGAACCACCTCGCAATGACATGGCGGGGATGTTACAGTTGAAAATTATAATATACTGGATGGCGCTCCCGAAGTATGTGCACCAAGATGGCGCACAAACTGAATCCTAACTTGGTACACATACTATGTTCAGGTTATGCGCCATCCTGGTGCACATACTTCTGGAGGTTCTACTGAATTAAAGGTGATTCAATACATACATTTCAGGTTTGGTTCCAAAACAGGAGAGCAAAATGCAGAAAACAAGAAAATCAAATTCATAAAGGTATATATATATCTTCTAATCAGGGTGAAATAATTTACTAAATAAATAAAACGGGGCAGTTACAAACATCTTGATGATCAATACTCTCAATGTCCATTTATATGCAATATGCAGAAGTTGAAATTCCTGCAATTTTTGCCTGGTTCAAGCGGGATTTTTCAATATAGCAGGCTGAATTACAGCTTACAATGAAAAGTTTTGTTTTAAGCATCGTTAAAGACAATTAATATTTTAATCATTTGAGTTAGATTAATACATTTTCTGATTTGGGTGCAAAAATTGACCTGATTCGAACATACAATGACTGAAAAGCAATATAAGTCCACGCATCCGAAACAAATAACTGGCAACCTAATTCCATACCCAACATGGATTGGTAACCGGGCGAGAGTCTACGGTTCGCTATATGATTAAGCCATCTTATCAGCTTTCCTTTCCCCTGAAATGAATATATAACTCCTATCCTGTAAATTATCGAGCCGGACCCAAAAATTACATTACTGTAAGAATTTCTTGCTAATATGTACAGCGAATAAAAACGATCACCTAACAGGTTGACTAATTTTAATTTAATAAAATCATTCAGGTATAGTGCTCGGTGGGGCGGACATTGGAATGGGCGAATGCAGAATTGCACCGTATTTCAATATGGGAAACAACAGACAAGCTATGCCTACACAACTGCAGGTAGATTAATATTAAAATAAAAAAAAGACAAAAATTAGTTTACAAGCAAATAATTTTTAACTTGGGTGTGATTGCGTTAATTGGAAGTTTTCATTAAAAATGGAGAAAAATTGTATGAAATTACTGCTGACTCCCAAAATTTTGAATATTCACTCATTTTTAAAATATCGCGAACATTAAAATAATACAGTTTAATCTAAAAACAGTACAACGAGAATATCGGTCGGAGACCGAAAACTTATCGATTGAAAGTTAGGGATCCCCCAAAACAGCGCTCTTACTCCATAGTGACACCTTGTGTCCCATCACTAATTAATTGATAACTCACTAATTATAAGACATAATTCATCCAAAATCAATAGGCTTTTGGTCCGACATATGATGAATGCACATGCAAAATCTGGAGCAGATTCGATCTCGCTTTCGTGAGATATCGCGAAATAATAGTCAATAATTAATTTTAAGCATTCAAGCAACATACTTTCGAGATCATAGAAATATTCATAAACGATTCTATTCAGGGACCTGGATCCGCAGACAGAACTTTGCCTCCATACAGAGATATACTTCCTGGTTATTTGGAGAACTACCTTGCATCAAATACTTTATCGAGGTTACAAAGCCAGATCTACAGCATGCAAAACTCAACTGTATCAACTCTGCCTCACTTGACACCGAATACCTTTCCAATGGGTGCTGTGAACCCGTATTTATTACTCCAAGCAAATCCTTTTAACTATTGTTTTCCGAACATATCTATGGAAAGCAGTAACTTACATGCAAGAATATCAGCGCTCGCACAAAGAAATCAGCTGTTAAACTATTATGCTACTCTGCCCCATACTTTGCCATCAATTCACAGCCTATCTTTAACAAAAGAAGATTCCTCTCTACCAAAATCAGAGAACATAGATATAAAACCTTCAAATTTCCAAGAAACAAAAAAGACAACCGAAAATCAGGTACCGATAACAAATTTGAGAATTAAAGCTGCCAAGCATGCAGCTGCGCTTGGATTATGAACAATGATTTGTACTTTTTGCTTTCTGATATTTACCAATGCTTTTTTTTGTTTTGTTCAAAAGTGTTTCTATAATATATAAAACAAAAATACAATCTGTTACTGAACATGAGTCATTTTGTTACCTGACAATACTGTTATTTATACTCAAATGAATCTCGGTGTCGAAAAGGGGTCAAATCACACTACACGAGTGAAAGGACATACTTATACATGAATAGAATTTAGGTGCCACTTAGGTATGCAATCTCAACATCATAAAACTACTTTAATTTGTGATCTACTCGCGTAAGTCAGACCTTTTTATTTTTCTATCATTCTATGAGGGTTCTAATTAGTTGAAATTTCAGCTAATGAAGAAATAAGTTATAGTTTAAATTAAATATCTGTTTGATTTGTTAATTAAACTTTAATGAGAAAGGAAAATTAGTTTTTCAATCGAGCAATAATCAAGCAGAAAAAACCAAATTGTAATAAATTACTATTCAAGTAAATTCACTATTCTAAATAAAATAATACTTTTAAATATGACATACGGTAAAATATATATTCCAAATTAGGAATTCTTACTAAAAACTTGCACAAGTCATTTATTGCATTCAATAATCCAAATAAAAATTGTTTTATTTGGTTTTCAGTTTCAAGTTTTCAGAAATGAAATGTGGCCTATTTTGTCTGACTGTCAGATGTCAAATGATCTGCATTTTCAAACCCAACATGTTTCAAAAAAGATTCCAAATATCAAATATTTAATTTACTTTGGACAAGAAACATTCACAAGTTAATTATTTTGGATGCAAAGATTTATTAAAGAAGAAAGAAGTTAACAATGGCAATTTTGTTTAAAAGTTTATGACTCTGCTGATAGAAAGCCCCAAATCCTCACACTGTTTTTAACTGATGTTTATTCAAATTGTGGGTTCAAATCAGATAACTCAGATTTCAATGTAACAAAAACAGAGTTGATAGAAAACTGGGTAACCCACCTTCAGACCTTAGTCTTCACCCAGGTCAAATTCACAATTATAAGCATGTTAATCGCTACCAGAATTATGATTTGTTGGTGGGCATTTTCAACTGCTTATCGCAGTGGTTTCCAACTTTTTTATTAAATTCCTCCCTTTTTCTAATTTAGAACTGTATATTTCTCCATCAATATGCATAAAAACTATTTATTTGTTGGATCTCTGATAGAGATTTAGCTGTTATTATGCATCAGAAGGCAGTAGCAATCAATATTAAAAAAAATTAGTATTCGTTTTACAGCAAATACTAAGATAAATTCCACCGTGGCGGAAAATTACTGCCAGATTGGGAACCATTGGCTTAGTGCTATTCCAAATGTCAGGTACAGATCCAAAATACGATATGTTAACTAATACCGAATAGGAGAATATATATTTGTGATTTGCATTGCCCCCATTGCAATACCAATACATGTTGATACTAAATATCAACAACAACTTTTTATAGTGTAAGATAGAGGTAAATAAGGTTATATTATACCACAATAATATTATTTTTAAATCAATACATTACGGTTCTCGTTTGCAGATTCCCACTTTAGCCATATGTTGTTAGGTTCCATCATTTTCACCTATGAGTTCACATATTGAACGAGGGTAATCTTCCATCAACGACTAGGATACGCCACCTTCTTCAGCGGGGAAGTTATGAGCACCCCCATTCCCGCGTTCCATTTCCCTCAAATTTAGGGAAATTCCCTACTAAATCGCGCTGGTCATTTAACGCCACCTTATGGAAATAAGCTCATTGAGGAGCACATTGCATTTTTCCCAGTATGAAAAGTTATACCCTATCAGACTGGCTGCTAATGCAAAAATGATATACATTCAGTAAATATTTTACAAATAACGACATTGTAAATGCTCAAAAGTGCGCATGCCACGATGACTCTTAAACTGGATGGTGCATTTATTCTAGGGGTTTTGAATCAACAACAACCAACGACTAACATACCACAACAACCTTGGATGTGGTGAAGGTAAACGTTCGTTTATTATGGGACTAGTCAATATGCTTTGGTATTGTTCTCTGTCACACCTATTACAGTACCTGTGGAGCACACCTCTTTTCCTCTTTACCTTGATTGTGTTGCCTCGATATCTTTTATCGTTTCCGCCGACTGACCCACACGAACAATATTTTTAATCAAATAATATAATTCTATTATTGCAATTTATTTTTACTTTTAGTCACGACTTGCAGTATTACCTTTGATATATTAGATTGCTAACTCACACCAATGACATTAAATAACATGATGCGCAACTTCGGCATTTTTGGCCGAAGATCGTATCCGATAGCACGCTCCAATGCACATACTTGACGAGACGAAAACGAGCGGATGTGTGCTGCTTTCGAGGCATAGCAGTGGCACAAATGGTGTTCGTGCCTGCTTTGACAGTTGTTGTCGATTTTAATGATATTTTGGAAAATTGAAGGTAAAAAGAAATCGGAAAAAGTTAAGGTAAATACTATTGTTGTATATCACACCCGGGCATAGCACTGTTAAGTACATGTGGGAAAGCCAGCTTTTGTCAAATACTACGAAGTTATCAAATCAGTACGGTACGTAGTTGCCCATTTGCCGAAATTGCATATTTACTTACCCCTTATGGTTACAAATAGTTCATGCACCTCCATTTAGATTTTTCTAATCAGTGTAGAAATATATATTCATTGCTGTAACATACTATTGCTCATTCACTTTTGTTTGCGTATTGAATCAAAGGGTTAACAAGTTCACCTAACATTTCACTCATACCGGTCTATATTGTATAGTCTGATCTCTCAGGTATTTGCCACGAGTGCTTGTAATTTTCTGACTAAACCCTTTTATTAGTTGATTTATATACCAAATTCAGTAAAACATTTTTTACATTAAACATGAGATTTATTAGCTTTTCCATTCTAAATCATATAGACTGCTTTATTTATTCTTAACGAAAATTAATAAATCTCCTCTCTTTCTTCAGATGTGAAAGTTGTGGACAAACCTGTCTAAACATTGTGAGACTCCTGCAGCACAAGAGGCAATAGCAAAAATAGTAAGTATATCAATTTCAAAAAATTAAGCCGACATAAAGCAAAACTTTCAACTATTCGTCTAACCTCAATTTCCTATTATTTATTCACAGGATATCTGTAGCAGAAGGGGAGATATCAGAAGTCTGGCGACATATCAGTGACAGTGTGATTCCAAGAAATATAATTAGAATACTCCATAGATGTTTGCAATAGAAGAACAACCTATGGAGGCATGCAAAGGCATTTGACCCTCCGGTAGAGTTGTGTATGGCCCCTACATCCTGCAAGGCTTGAAGAAAATGACTAAAAATTCCAATGCGTAAGATTGCATAAGCGGTCTTATTTGTGAAAAGGCATTAAACATGCCAGACATACTTGAAACAGCTTTGAAAAATAAAGATTACGGATCACTCACCTGCGTTATATTTGGTTCATCAACTTTTGGTAGTACTATAGAAGAAATTCAGGAAAGGGTATAATCATGATTCATGATAAAATACTGTTATATATTTTGGATAACTTCAATCTAGACCGGGGATGTCAAACTCGCGGCCCCAGAATACTTACAGTGCGGCCCTCGAACGCTTAACAATAATTGTAATAGTATTTTGGAAGTTTTTTTATCTAAATGTAACAGATTTTTTAAACTTTTCAAAGTGGAATTGAATATTCACACAGAAAACAATTTACTGAGAGTAGTTTTTGAAAAATTAATTTTTTTTTGTTTACATTTTGACCCATTTAAGAATACACATCAAGCTAGCAAAAGAATACTTGAATAAAACACTTGAGTGACTAAATTAAACGCAAAGTACATGAAGAAGATGGCATTTTCGAAAAAAATGGGAGTTGCAATATTTCTGCATTTCACAAAATTCTCTGAAGCACATTGTTCAATTTGTCATTCATTAAACCAATTCAGCCACTCGTTATAGTCAGTTACACCATTAATAGGAATTATATACAGCAAACAATTAATGAGAATTATATGCGAATCCCTCAGAATAAATTTGTCTTCTAAAATCGGAGGAAGGCAAAACATATAGGTAGTTTCCATTTACACAAGTCTTCCAAGAAGACTTGTTCGAGCCAAACTAAATGAGCATCGTCAGGTGATCGGTAAGGCTGCAAGTTAAATCTGCCCTGCAACCTCCTGCATAGTAGATAATATTAATTAGTGGGCTATGAGCTAATTTCCTAAATTTAGACACAAACCTATCTACGAGGCATTATGTACCAGCAATTTTACCTACGATTAACTAAATATGTCTAAAAAAATTCACCTACTAAAGCAAGTTCGATAGGTGCAAACTTTGTGTTATGGAATTGTATCACAGCAGTTTTGCTGTTTTGCATGACACTCTCTTTAAATGAAATTTCAATGTTTAAGCCAAACATTAAAATTACTAACTTTGAACTTTGTCATTATCTGCAAAATGTCCCACATAAATCTTTACGCTATCGCGTATGCAATCTTCTCTGATAAAAAAAACGTCTATGATGTCCAGAATTACTCTTTACAGCTTGTCTGCCATTCCAGCTTTCCAAGTGAGCAAAACTTCTTGGATATAGAGATTATTTTCTTTCGTTACAGTCTCAAAACGGCGGGTACTACACGTAAAGAAGACGCCGAGTAGCAAAAGCGAGTGGAAAACGGTCGCGAAAGACGACGAGAAATATGTGCATTGGAGCGTATCATGAAATACAATCTTTCGTATGTAGTCTTATGGAGTGACGTCAGAGTTGCCTATCATGTTGTTTAATGTCATTGGTCCCATGGACAAGATTGTGATTCTATTTTGTTTGATATATCTTTACACTCATGAAATGTTTTTTCCTACTCAGATATCAATCAATCAATCAATCAAATCGTTTTTTATTTGTCATTCCGATAAAATATAACAAAATGAAAACAAGAAAAATGAAAAAATATTCGTACAGAATGACGGGATAACCGCGAAATGACCATTCGGTCTACTTGTCAGCGGCAACCTCAGTATGAGTGTTTCTCTACTGATCTACAGTTAAATCTTTTATAAGTATATGTTATATTACT